TGCTCCTAAAGGAGCCCCGTAATCGGAATGCGCATAGTCGACTGTCAGTTTGGAACTAGTCGAGCAGCGACGTCTCAGCTTTGTAACTTAAAGCAATGTCAACACTATCCAAATTGGTTGCAACTGATTCTATACCGTCAGACAGACTTAGGTACTGTTTGTTTCCTGGATTAGCCGGTGTCAACTTAGGCACCGTGTTGGAGTCCTGTAATCGGGTCTCGAAAAGACAGCAAGCATCCATAGCGAGGGACTTCAAAAGAAGCACTAGACCGGCCTTTTGCCCACTCTGCATGAGGGTTCATACATTAAAACCTCCCGACCAGAATGAAGATCGGGACCGAAACAGTGAAACTATCCGGACTCTTGGGATATAGGCGAAACTGGCATCGGAAGTATATTCAAAGGAACTATAATAATTATTGAAAGCAATCTGGGAACATTATGGGGGGTATACACATTAAAATACCCTTGAGCGGATGAGTACGACGTAGTAATTGTTGTAAAATCCGTGATTTTGTCAGAGGGCATGAAACTACCTAGTTATCCAAGTTCATGTAGGGAGTTGGCTTTAGGTATATCATCCCGACTTGAGAGTAACAGCCTGACCGCAAGACAACCAGGCGAAATTAATGTAATCACGTCGATTGAAAGTCGGTGACTGATTTCCTAATTCGCACGCCGTTCGTTTGCTCGGCTACCGATTGGGGCCCAATTCTTCCCTCAGCTTCAGACTCCGGTTGCTGGGATACAATGCTTCACAGGAGCAAAGCAAGGTCAGCGAGTTTATTTAGTGCCGAGTCACTTTTACCACATCACAGTTGTTAAACGGACATTTGTGTCTTTTTAGTGGGAGAACGACCGCCCAATATAAACTCATTACTTCATGTAACAATGCCGCCGGACTATTCGCTAGAACGGGATTAACCCGGACCACCCAGCTGGCACCGCGTGGAGGCTGTTCGGCTAGCCACCCAATAACCACAGGCACGTGTAGCGTTGTTGTACTGCGTCACGATGTGCTAATGTGATCATTACAACCCCCACCTAGTCATCTGTATCTTTACTCATACTAGAAAGAAAGAATTCACCAGCAGTACGCCGGTACACTGCGCGGATCTTTCGCTGTCAGACGACCACCACCATTCATGCGACCGCTGGGCATATCACTAGGGGTTACTCGCACTTACGCGGATTGGAACCGGCGATTTCAGGAGTGTAACGCAAGACCGGCAATCCATTTGGCTGCCAGCCGCTTCCTCCTCATACTGGATTCCCGTTTCATAGTAAAGCATTGGACGACAGGAATGGTGTTTAACTGTCACTGCGACGTCAAGCTAGTAACGTTGTGGTTAGCGCAACGAGACATTTTCTGTTCTTGAGCAATGCCATTTTTATCGATTCAGTTTAGTTGGTTGGTTGGTCCATATTCTAACTTCGATACCTGTTCCAAATACTTAGTTACCACATTGCACATTTACTGATTTAAAACTACATTTCATGAACCATCATCCTCAATCTTGATCGGGACTATTTATCAATCGACTTAGTCTGCCAGACAATAAAGCCGTTGATGCTTTGGTAGGTCACAGGAAGTCTATGCTAGAAAATGGCTTTAAACCCGATCATACGTGATCGGAACAAGTATCTAATCATAGTGGAACATTTCGCCGGTTGTTTCGAGATTGTTTCCTTGCTCATAGCTAGCGCTTACAATATAATGAACATTCTGCGTTGTCACTTAGCCCGACGTGGAATTTCCAAAGGAGTGATTTCAGACAATGAGTTGTGATCAACTGCTGAGGATTTCAAACCCTTCAGCAAAAAGAAAAGAGGTTCGTTCATCGACTGTTTTTCTAACTGAACTCTATTTTGTCTCCCCGCAAAACTAGGCGAGCCTTAGTCAGCGCTCAATGAGTCATGAAGCTAGATAACTGTACTGCCTGCGGTCAAAATTCTACTTCAGCTATTAGGTTGGTAATAAATTTATTGTAGTTTTCGGATCTGAAACTTTAATTGCACCTACCTTGGCTCAAACACAACACTTTTATTTCGAAATAAAAACCATTTGAATTGACACACTTTTACCAACGGAAGCCGAGTTTATTTGTCCCAGATGAATGAAATACCGGAGTTCTAGTGGCGATGAAGTTGTCGAAAGCGGTTTCAGCTTCTCTTTGGGTTTTACAACTTTTCTCTCGGAGGAAGTTATCCAGTTGCTATAAAAGTGGCAATCGATAGGTCAAAAAGGTCAGGGGAGTATGGGTGGTGAACCAAGGTTTCGTAGTCCAGCTCATGGAGACTCCGCAGGGTTGTTTGTACGGCTGAGCGTTATCATAGAGAAGAGTTGACCTCTTTGTTGACCAGTGCCGGGCAACAGTTTTATAGTTTTCGGTGCATTTCGACTATTTGTTAGCAATACTTCTCCGCTGTAATGGTTTACCGTGGGTTCAGAAAGCTGTGCTAGATCAGACCAGCTGCAGATAATCAATCACCATAACCTTTTTGGGTGCAACTTCGGCTTTAAGGTGTGTTGTTAACTTTGATCGTGATCCATCCATTGGGAGTTTCCTCGTCAATTGTCGTAAAGAATCCACTTTTGTTCGCATGTCGCAGTCCGTTCGAGAAACGTGTCGTTTTTATTGCTCAAAAGAAAGGCAGATGAACCACAAAACGGCTATTTCTTCTGTTTTCATTCAATTCCTACGGCACCAATTTATCAAGCTTTTTCGACATTTCAATCGCCCGTAAATGTTTTAAAACTATCACATGCGATACTGCTAAGTCAGCAGTAAGATCTCGAATAGTTTTACGCGGATCCCATTTAACTAAGGCCTTTGATTAACCGTTGTTCACTTCCAATGGCCGTCCACAACGCTCTTCATCTTCATGCCTCTCGTAACGTTTTTGACATTTTTATAACCTCCATTGTGCAGTACGGTTGAAATAGTTCCAGTACCAAGTGCACTGTTTCCGCTGCCTTCCGACCAAGTTTAAATTGGTGCAAGAAAATTGTGCGAATTTGTCTTCTGTTCATGCTGCTGTAAATGTTCCGTACGGATGTAAAAAAATGTTTCTGAGCTGACCTATCACTATTGCTAGCTAGAGCGCAAAACAGTCTTCAAAATGATATACAATGGCAAAGCAACTTATTAAAAATTATTCGAAAACAAAGCTGTTAAAATAAACATCGAAAAACCGTAATAACTTAATAATAAACCATAATAAAATCTAATAGGAAGCATTATCGGCCACGTCGCTACATGATGGTTCAGAAAAAATGATTCTTTGATGCAATTAGCTATGAATGTGGCTCAAAATGATTACCTATCTTTTGATAGAAGAATAAGGGTACATCACATGGATGCTTTCTGTTGTTATTATGCTTAGTGTCAGTGAACAATGTTGGGTTTCGTGAAAGAGCACGCGGCGCCGTTGAGCTATGTAGTAAATAGGACATACCAACAGACACAAGACACGCAAAGCGGTAAAATGACAGAGTAACGTATGTTGCTGAAGACACTAGTAGGATGCCATGCAATAACGAAATTTACGGAACTCGCAGTACCATACAGTTGGCTGGAATTGAAACGTTAGTATGATGACAGCTGAGTGTTCTGAAACCGTATACAGGCTGATTGCCAGTAAGAACATTCTCAACCAGTTTTCACAACCGTGTCGATTATTGGTGCTAGCGAGTGACCACAATCACGTGACTTTTTGACCTCCATTAAAGGATTGACCCATGCAAGTCTCGATGATGGTTCACTGTCTTGATTCATCACCGCACCATATTTGCGTTTTTACTGCAATGAAAGGAGTTAAGTTCTCAAAGTGTTGATTTACTCACCGAATTGGCCGATTCGATTGTAGGCTTCTTGTCATCACTATAGTTCAGCTTTTTCCTACGTAGTAGTAGGGACTTCGCCACAGTTACATACTGGACTTTGGACAAATCTCCGGCGAACCATCCCCCAACCCGAGTTGTTTTATCTTGACTTACGTTTCTCCTTAATGCTTTTCGTGCATTTAGGAGTAAACGAGGGCCTCATTCCTTCCTTTCCTCCAACTAGAGTGAAGTTCAAGTAGTTGAAACGATGTCATTCAACCGACATTGTTGGAGTTTATAAGCAGCTTGTTTTTCTTCCACGTAGATTAAATTTTGCCGTCTCCTTCTGCTCGGTCGGTGTCTGAAACCTTTGTGCGCTTGCGTCATAATCCGGAAATCGCCGGTTCGAATCTGCGTAAGTACCGATGACGTCGCGTGGCAACGAAGCGTCGGTACGGTGTGCCGACGTATTGCTGATGCGTACCTCAGACACTAGGTTTCGTATGAACGTGAACGGTCATGTTCACACTCTCTTAGGATTCGTACTATCGGAGTCCAATGTCCTTTCGACTCGTTCGCTAGATTTCGTTATCCACAACGTCTATTGGATTTGGTGGAATAGAGTGCCCTCAGCTGTTCCGCGATGCGGCCACTCATGCGGACAGTGCCTGAACATTGACGATCATTTGGACACACAGTAATGCTATCGAAGAGCTAACGAGGATGCACAGTTTTAGAGGACTGTTGCATGATCCTCTTTGACTGCTTACTATCTCATTTTCTTGTTACCGCTCCTGCCGTTTGAACGGAGCGCTGCATGAGCTTCAATTCTTTTTCAGTTCGCATTTTATTGACAACCACTGACATGTCTGATGAGACGGAAAACGGCAGCCATATCACCTGAACATTGTTCGCCCATTTTCTTGCTTGAACTTTGATTTCACTTGCACTGACTAATTTACATTCGGATGATTTAAATTCCAATTGTTCGTTGTCATCTTGCCGCCAGGGACTATTATTATTTACAACTGTTCCTTATGACAACTCCAACTCTCTTATATCATTATCATAACGAAATGCGATTGTTGTTTGAGCTCTTTCTCTCCGGGACAACCTTTCACTCAAAAGTTTTATGTAACAGTATTATTTGGCTGAACTTACACTTCTGCTCCAGGCTATTGCACAATTGCCACCCTCGGCCTCCGAAGAGATAACCACTCGGGTACTTGAAGCCACCTCGCACATTGACATGGATCCACGAACTAAAATCGAAGTTCTTCGCAAAGAACAAGCAAGTATCGAGGCGGCTCGTGCTCAGCTAAAACAAGAACTGGCCGCACAAAAGGCAACGCAGCCTGAAACCAAATCTGCAAAATCCGACACCAAAGATGAGCAACTTCTCGACAAAGCTCCTGTGCTTAAGGGTTTATCACATGAATGTGAGTCACACTGACTACTTTTTCCAACCATAATGTACTTCTCATCCGTCTATTTGAATTTCGATTTTTCCCTTGGCACTTTTCAGTCTACTGGCCCGTAGTCTAAAGGCAAAAAGCTTGCCTTGTGATCCGTCGACCCGGGTTCCAGCCTTTGTAGGGACAGGGCGACCCCCGCAGTATCCTTAGCCCACCTGCAACTGGTGTTGGCTGTGCGGCAGCGAAGCGTCGGTACTGGGTACCGACGTACTTCTTCAGCCTTTCTATTTTCTACTTTGCGACTATTTTTTGTCTTGACTGATTTGGCTTCAAGCCTTTTCTGGTGCTGGATGTCCCATGGTTCTCTCATGCCTCTGTGTGCTTGCTTCTTGACCTTGATCACGCTTATGAAATCTACTTGTTCATCCGCGTTTTTATTGACTTCTGCGCAAGATTAAAAATGATAACTCGAGTCAAACCGCTGTGCGCTGGTAGTTTCAGAAAACACATCTAGTCCAGTTTCCTCGAATATTATCGACTCTCCCTTAGTTATCCTGTTAGTCGTCTCTCCTGCTCTGTTGCCTTTCCTTACTGTAATCGACGAGGATAAGCGCCGTGTGGATAAAGACGTCCAGCTATTATCCTTCTAGGTATACCCCTTGCCTATTTGGCTTTTCTGTCCCCTCTGCCTTATTTCGTCTTCCATACAGTTGAGCGACGACAATCTTTAAATGATTACTCAACGATCGGTCGACTACTATTTCATCTCATTCATTGAAGTCCATGTTAGTTTGTGACAATGCGAGCTCGTTCATGTCCATATAGCACAGCTTCTGTTTGCGTTCATTCCCCTTTCCTGAGCCCAATGACCATATCGCTTTTTCTTCGATCTGGTTGCTTTCATTCGGTATACGTGACTGGGTTACTTACCGTACCACAGTACCTGCATGCGATTTGTCCTCTGCGTACCTCTCTTACGTGAGTGAAAAATTCTAGCTGATCAGGTGAGGATTATCACTGCGGTTCCAGCATCAATCTTTGTTCTTCGCAGATGTAGCATTCATGATGCTTCTTCACCGCAGTTGGGCTAAACCAACTTAAGCTAGGTCTGTTTAATGTGGATAAAATTCGTTACATTTTCTTTGGTTTGTTCTGCGTACTTCATAATCTTCTCCCAACTTGCACACGTCGCTCATGTAAATTGTGGTAAACTTGCGTAATTGTATCGCGTGGTATTTTTTAAATAACTCGGACATTTTGTACTTATCACGGATTCACTTATGACCAATTTCTTTCATATGCTCATTTAGCGAGTATTTATGTCGTCATATGCTTTTACTCTATTCAATATCGGCATTTTGAGTGATTGGCTGTTGTTTGACATCCCAGGTGTGGCTGCGCTTGATGTGGATGTTGACAAGGTGCCTACCTGTCTATTACCCACTACCTCGTCCATCTGGCTCCAGGAGACAGTTGGTCGTTGCTGGAGGGGACGGGGTGCACTGTCCTCGTGACCGTGTTAGGATCGAAGAGTGGTTCCATGCACTCAGCTTGGAGCGGACTACGGTTCAGCCCCCAACTTGTGTGCGCTTGATTTCCCAAATACAGCGTGTTTGTGTTTGCCTGTGAAGGAGTATGGGCCGGCTCCGTTGATGAAACGTAGCTCCCATCCACATGCCTCCCGGTCTTTTACATATATATATATATATATATATATATATATATATATATATATATATATATATATATATAGAACGCGTGTTGAAAATCGACATGAAACGCGGTCCTTGTTGTGACAGGTGCCCTAACCGCTCCGTTAACTTAGGTTTCTTAGTGATTAATCTTCAAAGCGAAAGAAGCCAATTAGCTAAGTAAAGATTTCATAGACACTGCGGTGCTTTTGGTTTAGGTTACCTTGGGCGTTTTTAACCTACTATCATCTTCAAACTCGGAGTCAGTGTTTCTACGTCCCAATCTCAGATAGTCTTCCAATCACATCATTAACGGTTCCACTCTGACTTATCACATACTATCGAATCGTGTCGAGACCGGTGCAGAATTGGTGTACAATATCTGCATCTTCACCTGTTCGACAATAACCCTCAATCACGACTACCGATTATGTGTTTATCTTCACAAGTCAGATGCGTTGGGTCGCCTTATTATCTCTTTCTCTTCGATCCTGCGATGAAAGTGTTTCATTAACTACTGTACTTTTTTATTACTAGACGATCTGTCGGGTGACCGGCCTACAGTGTTAGAATGCATAGCTGCCATCAATCGCGTGGGAACGGACCCAGTCCCTTCGCACACGTTGCTGGGTGCAGTGACGTAGATCACTCTGAAATGTGCTTCGCACCTTCAAGCTACAGTGTACTGCTACTTTGATAAGTTAACGCACCGCTTATCCTCATGATCTCTAAAGTGCTATTACAATCGGTTGATGAATTCACTCTCCCGGCAGTTGTGTCGCATTCTAGGATTAAGTTTCTGAATTTCTTGCTGCATAGATCGATAAGGTCCCTGTTACTTTCCCCGTCCTCAATCACTCGTGAACATGGCTCATCGACGTGCAACTTCGCGTCACGTCTAGTGTTATGGTAGAGTTCCACGATGTGCATACATCACATCTGGACCATTTAAGGCCTGACAGTATTCGCTCATCGATGTTTGCAATCAACATCCCTATTTAGTGTAAACAACGACCGAGCAATGCATTGCATATGTCTGCGATTGTTGTTTGCCATCAACTCTGGATCAGCTATTTCACTTGAACCACCTATCTTTTGACTTAACACTATCACGAAGACTGTACCACCCGTCTCCGTCAGTAGCGATTAACAGTCTCCAGACAGTTAGCAAGGTGGCGATATGCGACGGGAAGGCACCTCGTCACCATTCGCATCGAACGCTGTCATATATAGGATATCAACCGCTGAATGCTGTCAAACATGCGACAACACCAACAGATAAATATAGAGTCCAACAGCAGCAACCATGCAGCACACGGACGATGTCTGCCACACTATTGACCCTGGTTAGCGTATTTTTGCTTTGCTGCCACTCACCTTTTCAGCTTCCTCGTCGCCTCTTCGATATTGGCCTCTTGTGGCCACATTGAGGACTGGTCAGACCCGCTCGGCTGAGGCACACAACTGCAGGTACTACTGTTTCTGGTGCATTACATCGATGGGCCGAGCTCCACCGGTTCTTGTCGTTTGTTCATCTGGGGTTTTTCTTCCTGATTCAAAAATACTTTCTGATACTCCTGGGTAGCGACATTCTTGATGTGATCACGCTATAGGTGACAGTCCATTGCCATTCGCTCCCAACACTTTGTCATTAGTTCGTGATAAACTCACCGTGATCACGTCATGATAGCGCGGCTTCAGTTTTCCCACATTCCGCTACCCCGCACACGGTTGCGCATACAACAGGCATTTCGGTATCTTGATCGGTGGACATGTCTGAACGACCTTGAGTATCACAGCAACCGCATGCAATCCACTGCGTGTTTACCGCTCTGTCGAGTCACTTTCCTTGGCAGGAACTCCGTCACACCAAGAGAGGCGCACAATCCGACGTAGACATTGCTGATAGCGGTCGTCTTTCTTGAATGGTGTCTACGTTTTGCTATCGTATAGATGAACCGAGAGCACCATTGATTGGTATACTATCAGCTTGACCCCAACGGTTAGCTGCTGGTTCTTCCAAAGCCCATGCTCCGGCTTCCAAATACACTACTGGTCTTCGATTTGCGGATGCGCAGTTTGCAGGTCATCTTAAGCTCCGTTACCAGAAAGCTCACAAAGAGGTCTCCAGAACTACCTCTGCAGTTTTGATTTGCAAGGAGCGCATATATTCCACACCTGGTTGTAGCTGAAAAAACAGCATTACCTGTGTCGATGGCAGGTCCGAACTTGGTCGTCCTTGTTCTTCGTTGCAACTCATCCTCTCTGGGTCCAAATAACGCACATTCGTCGGCACACAACAACATCGTCCGGTTGCCACATGCACTCTGGTTGTCGCCCAGAAACGACGGATGTTCAGCAATCCACCATTAATCCGAAGCTTCACACGGACACTACACTCAAAAGCATCAACTGCACAATATATAACATTTAGGTGTTAAACAGGGTAGGGTCTGAGCACAGCCTTGCTTCACACCAGAGACAACATCAAAGTCGTCCGAGGTATGTCCACAGCTGCACCCTCGCCCGCATACCACTGTGCAGACATTCAACAAGACTAACTTAGCTAGGCTGCCAAGTTTACCCAACAATAGCCACAGTGCCTCGCGGTTCAACATGACAAACGCCTTAGTGAAGTCTATAAACAGCGAGTACAATGGCTGATGTCGCTCTCTGCAACTGACGGGCCGCGAACGTCATATCTATTGTGCTGCGGTCCGAACGGAGTCCGCAATGCTCTTCCGCCACGTTTTGTTCAACGATCTGAGTAACGAGACGGTCGGCAGGATTCGAGCAATCACCTTCCCGACGTCATTCTACAAATCGATGCCACGCTAAGTGTTGGCACATTGCTTGCCCCTTTTGCCTTTGTAAAGTAGTAGCAAAAGGAAAGCACGGATATATATATATATATATATATATATATATATATATATATATATATATAATGGTTGGCGGCATCCGGTTTCGGCTTTGCCTGTCACTGTGGCCAGCCACAGGACGCCTGCGCCTACAGAGGTACCATGGGTGGCTTGCGCTGCACCACACACCCCATATCCAGTGTAAACCCGAAGGAATAAGATCGGGAGGCATGTGGATGGAAGCCACGTTTCACCAACAGAGCCGGCCCACACTCCCTCACAGGCAAACACAAGCACGTTGTATTTGGGGAATCAAGCGCACACATGGCGGTGGTTGGACCGTAGTCCGCTCCACACTCCACTCTTCGAGCCTAGCACGACCACAAGGACCATGAACCCCGTCCCCTCCAGCAATGACCAACTGTCTCCTAAAGCCAGTATGAACGAGATAGTAGGTAATAGACTGGTAGGC